TTTAGGGGTGATTATAGTATACTTACAAAGGGACCCTAAGGGGAGACCATTAGTTTTTAATCCGACCCCTATATGAAGAACGCCCCTCACACGCGGCTGGGGCCTTCTTATCTTTCCACGGGCGTCGCCGGCTCGCACTACGGCTGGCCTCCAATCCAGGGACCCCTAAGGGGTGTACCCCTTTTAAGGTTCCCCTAATGGACTCCTAACTCCTTTTAAGGGGTTCCCTAAATAGACTCCTGCCTTATATGCTCTTAGAAAAGGTCATGACTCCTAATATGGCCCTTAGATGCTCTGAGAAGTTCTTTAAAAAAGGGTCCATAAACAAGGTCTAAGAATCCCATGGGGCTTCGGGTTTAGGGTTAGGGGTACTCGGAGTTACGGTTGAGGGTCTGCGGTCAAAAAGGTTGAAGGGGTGGGTTCAGGGTGCAAAACGAGTGGCTCTTCATGACGCGCTATCTAGGGCATCTAGGGTTGAGGGTCTGGGGCTTTAGGGTCTGCTTCCATTTTCTTAAGAACTAATAAAAAAGAAAACCTGAACACAAAAAGCTTCATCACGGTTTCAGAGGCAACCTGTGCAAAACTTTTTATAGTTCAGGTGTTCTGGTGTCCAAGGTGTCAGGGGTCTTCGGATGGTCGTAGGGTTTTATCGGGCTTCTGGGGTTGAGGCTTTCGTGTGCTTTGATACTGAAACGACCCCGAACTGTAAACCCTAAACCCTAAACCCTAAACCCTATTTCCTGAACCCTAAACCCTAGACCTTCAACCCTCCAGATGCAGTAGGAGCCTCGGCCGGTGCGTGTCCGTCTCGCTCAGGAGACTCGCTTGGGGCGTTGCGGCCGTTCTCGCGCTGGCCTTGAATAATACCGGGCTTGTATTTAGGGTTTAGGGTTTAGGGTTTAGGGTTTAGGGTTTAGGGTTTAGGGTTTAGGGTTTAGGGTTTAGGGTTTGGGGTTTGGGGTTTGGGGTTAGGGGTTTAAGGGTTCAGGGACCAGGGGCTTGTATTAAAACAAAAACAGAGTATATCCTCATACGAACTCCTTTGGCCCTAAACCCTAAACCCTAAACCCGAAACCCTAAACCCTAAACCCTGAACCCGTGTTGGTTGCGTTTGGGCTCGGGCGGACATCAGGACCTCAGGGCCTCTGCGAAGGTGACCCTCCACCGCTTCGGGCTTCGGGAGGAGGGCTGAGGGTTGAGGAGCTTAGGGTTTGGGGTTTAGGGTTTGGGGTTTAGGGTTTAGGGCTTAGGGTTTAGGGTTTAGGGTTTAGGGTTTAGGGTTTAGGGTTTAGGGTTTAGGGTTTAGGGTTTAGGGTTTAGGGCTTCGGGCTTAGGGCTTAGGGTTTAGGGTTTGGGGCTTAAGGCTTAGGGTTTAGGGCTGAGGGTTTTGGTTTCACTGCTTAACCCTTGATGCGCTGCCTCCCTCAAGAGCCTGGGACCCAGTGCCTTCGATTGCTCGTGGGGTGGGGGGGGAGGGTTTAGGGTTTAGGGTTTAGGGTTTTGGGTTTAGGGGTTAGGGTTTAGGGTTTTGGGTTTTGGGATTAGGGTTTAGGGTTTAGGGTTTAGGGTTTAGGTTTAGGGTTTAGGGGTCCTCCCAACTGAATAAACAAATCTTCTTCTGACTAAGGCTCATGTTGAGAGCCCGAGTCTACAATTGTTTGGGGCTCCCCAAACCCTAAGCCCTAAACCCTAAACCCTAGTCCCGAAACCCTAAACCCTAGTCCCGAAATCCTAAACCCTAAACCCTAGTCCCGAAACTCGAAACCCTAAACCCTAAACCCTAGACCCTAAACCCTAAACCCTAAACCCTAGACCCTAGACCCTAGACTCTGACCCCAACTCCCGAATCCGGCCTCCTCTCCACGCAGGTAGCCGGCTCAAGAACGTCTCGAGCGCATCCTGGCTGGGAGTGCACATGGAGGTTCATGGTACTTCTTATGATTTAGGGTTTAGGGTTTAGGGTTCAGGGTTATAACTGACCATGAACCTCCGTGCAAGGGCAATGCATCCCTCCGCCCTCAACCCATGGGATGAGAAGCTAGGGTTTGGGGTTTGGGGTTTGGGGTTTAGGGTTTGGGGTTTAGGGTTTAGGGTTTAGGGTTTAGGTTTAGGGTTTAGGGTTTAGGGTTTAGGGTTTAGGGTTTAGGGTGTAGGGTTTCGGGTTTAGGGTTTAGGGCTACGGAGTTTAGGGGTTAGGGTCCAGGGTGCGGGCTTCGGGCTTGGGATGTAAAACAAACCCAACAACCGAAAGAGCAAGCTGCTTCCCACCATGTTGAGTTCACGGACAAGTTGAAGCCGCCCCCGCAACAAAATGCTCTGTGACAGCTCTTCCAGTCTCTCTCTCTCTCTCTCTCTCGCCCTCCCTCCCTCCCTCCTGTCCCTCTCAACTAACTAGTTGGAGGTTAAGGCCGAGGGTCTGGGACTTAGGATCACCCTGTTTGGAGTTGGCTAAACGGGTACCGCCCACGCCTAGGTGCCCAAGGTTTAAGGATTTAGGATTTTGCCCCGAAAGCCTCAACCCAAAGCCCCAAAGGATTGGCAGCACTCCTCCAACCGTAAACGTGGCGCCAATCCTCAGCAGGGCCGAGCTCTTGGTGCTTTTGGGTGGTTTGGGAGGTTTCGCTGAACCCAGAACCTAAAACCCAAGCCGTCTAGCTAAACATAGAACCCCAAGCCCCACACTCTGAAACTAAAACCCCAAATCCTAGACCCGAAACCCGAAACCCTACACCCTAAACCCTAAACCCTAAACCCTAAACCCTAAACCCTAAACCCTACACCCACAAGCCTAAGCCCTGAAGAAAGCCCACGGGTGCCGCGAAAGCTTCCTTTGCTCGGATGGGCGTAACATGGAGTCGCTCTTCGGGTGTTTTCAAGGGTTCAGGGTTCAGGGCTTAGGGCTGAACATCCCTAAACCCTAAACCCTAAACCCTAAACCCTAAACCCTAAACCCTAAACCCCAAACCCTAAACCCTAAACCCTTTTGACACCTGGTGCCTGAAGGTGCCTGCAATCGAAACGTCACCTTTCAGGTGTTCCTGTCGATTCGCAAGGGTTTGGGCTTACTCTAGGGGATAGGGTTAGGGGGACCCTTGGGGATATAGACCCTCTGAATAAGGTCCCTGTTCAAGAGAGCCAGAAGAGGGTTAAGAAGGGCTCCCTTTTAAGGTCCCCCCTTATCCTACCTAGGATACTCGCCACGCAACACAGTATGCAAGTTTTTTGCACTGATCGATGAAATGCTCGGGCAAACCTACACCCAAAACCTGAATGTGGAGCCGTGTGCGAAATGGGGCTTGCAGTGTTCTGGTCTACAAAATTCCCCTGAGATGTACGCCTGAAAAACACCCCATACAAACTCTCAAGCAGCCCTACGTACACCCACAACAACCTTCTAAACAAAAACCTCCTTAGCCTGAGGTGTTGATGAGACATCCCGAAGTTTAGGGCTTAGGGTTTTGGGTTCAGTTTAGTGCGATTGCTCGCCAAGCTCTGTGATTGAGTACGAGTAGGCCACGCCTCCTTGAACTTCATATCCGGAACTTGCTGAGCGGTTCTGAACCCATCTTTTGCATGACTTGAGCCAGAAGCCTTAATCTTGATGTCCAGATAAAGCTTGTTGCTTTGACTCAGAACAACACCAATCTTTAAAAAAAGACCGGCGATGAGAAAAGCCCTTCGAAATAAAAAAGCTCTCGGTGGAAACCTCAAGTCGGAGACGCCTCTGAACCTGAAAACGTTCGATCTGCGAGTTTGGTTTGGCTCGCTCTGGCTTCGGGCTCCTTTGGGCTTCGGGGTTCCTTAGATTTGGGCTTACGGGTTGCTTCAACCCCCCCAAAACCCTAAAGTCCTAAAAACAAGACACTCCAAGAACTGGGACCCCTGACCGTCGGCCCCAGTCCTCAGCAGAAGCAGGCTTCTAGAGGGTCGTGGGGGGGTTTGGGGATCCTGACGTTTCGTGCTTGCCCCGATCTCTTCATGAGGATTAGGTAACCTCGGGTTCTAGGACAGAAGGCTTACACGCACAGTCGGCGTCTGGTGACCTGAACCCCTCAACCCCATGCAGCACAACGCGACCGCCAGCCAAACTGCCCCTGCCCGCCCTGCCCCAGGATGGAACCCACATGAGGCCTACTTAGGGGTTTAGGTTCAGTCTTGGGTTTAGGTTTCAAGGATGTTCAAGGTCTAGGGTTTGGCTTTAAGGGTTCAGGGAAAGAGGTTTCAGCCTGAATTTTGGATCGGAGCAGGGCGGGGGTAGTAGAACCCTAACCCCTAAGCCCTAAACCCTAAAAAACCCTAAACAGAGGACCCCATTGTGAACGAGACTGCGAGCCGGGCGGTTCACTGAAATCCATGAAGAGCTTGGCAGCCTGGCCCAGCAGCTCCGTGTTTCAGGAGTTCTCAGGTAGGGAAAACGAGGAGGGTCTACCCTAAACCCTAAACCCCGAACGCTAAACCCCAAACCCTAAACCCTAAACCCCAAACCCTCCCCCTCCCCCCCTCCCACAAAAGAAAGAAGGCACTAGTTGGCACCTTGGAGTCCACAGCCGCCATCGGCACACCCCAGCGCCCCGTTTGGGCCGTGAAGGCTGCGGGAGTGGTTTTTGGGAGGGGGGGTTGGGGGGGTTTGGGTTTGGGGGGTTTGGGGGATTTTTTCTTGGGGGGGGGGTTGGGGGGTTTGGGGTTTTAGGGTTCTGCTTTTTTGGTTTTCTTGTTTTTCTTTGTTGCGGGGTGGGGGGGGGGAGACGTTGGGGGTTTTGGGAGGTTTTGGGGGAGTTGGGGGGTTTTGGGGGGGGGGAAGGGGGTTTGGGGCTTTTGGGTTTTTGAGCTTCTGGAGCTTTTGAAGGGCTTTGGGGTTTGGGGTTTAGGGTGAGTCTAGGTGGTTTGGGTTCGGGTGCACCGGGCTTCGGATACACTGGGGTGTTGAATTATAACGACTTTCGGACGAAAGAAGAACGCTTCAAACGCTGGGATATGCATTTTTTCATAGAGGGGCCAGCTCAGCAGGGCAGCCCGAGCATGCCCTGTCGCAAGCGCTCACAGCGCCAATGAAGATGCACCAAAGTAGCAGGATCAAAGCGAGCAGAGCCTTCTTGCTCCCATCTTCGCAAGACTCCCAAAGATTCCCGGCCGACATCTGCCCAGAGAACGTCATTGCTGCCCATGGCAGTACTTAGGTCCTCGAGAGATCTGTGCAGCCAGCGAGCGGCCGGGTTCATGGGCGATAGCTGGATGGAGTCGACGGCACCCCTCTTGTAAGGCGAAGATGCATGTCCCAAGAGTGCTGGGCCAAGCAGATATCCGCAGGCGAGGGTAACCGCCCGGGCCTCTTCACCACCACATTGCTGCCAGCATGTCAGCGCGCCGCACCAATCGAGAACCTGCTCGCAAGCAAGAGCTCTGGCGTGCCACAACCAACCCGAAGGCAGGCTTGGCCAGGGCAACGTAGCCTCCTTGCCAAAGTCCCATTGAGCTGCCTTTGCTTGGCTTATCAGCAAGCGTCTGATCCTTGCAGCACGTGCTCGATGGTCCCTCACAAAATGGGCCACGTACACTGCCCATTCATCCTTGCCTTGCTGCTCAAGGAGCTGCGCATACTGCTGTGTCAAGCTCTGGAAGGAGCTGCTGCTGGCGTGGGTCGTGCCAGCGCCCTCGCCAAGCAACATCAGCAGCACGACCACAAAGTGCCATGACAGCGCCACATCCTGGGGACTCTCCGAGTGCGTCATGTAATCAAAGTGACTTGCATCATAGGCGCCTGTGCCCATGGAGCCAGCGACCTGAATCGCCTTGAACTGCAAGGACACAGGCTCATCTTTCGAAGCTGCGAAACGTAGGTCCGGTCCGCTGTGCTGGATCCTCTGCTCACAGCTGGCTACCTTGCTATTGCTTGCTAGGGACTGGGGTACCCTATAGAATCCCTTAAAGGGTATTTTAAAAAAATAGAGGGGGGTATATAGGTATACTAAGCAACAGCAAGCTTCAAGGGCATAAGCCGGCACCGGACGGATTCTGGAGGAGCGCACCTGCTTCATGTCCACAAACGCTTGGACGACGCGCTCCAAGGCATGTTCGCAGTCACCGACGTCCTCAACAGTTTCCTCCACCGTCTGGCCATACCACAAGAACACGCCAAACGCAGTTCGCCAGTCCAGCGCATCACAAGCCACCTGCACGTCACCTGCCAATAGGCGGTATAGGCGCCACAACCCTGGCCCCATGAGATCAGGCACTCTTTGCCGCTTCCATTCCTCCACCTGCTGCCGAAGCCAGCGCCGCTGCTCGCGACCAGGAACTGCGGAACCGCCGCAAGCTGCCAAGATGGCTGCCAAGCGGTCGAAATGAGGCCCTCCGCCCCCAGCTTTGCGCAGTGCATGCAGAGCCTGCCGAGGGGAGTTGGCCGTCAGGTGGTGGAAGGCGGCCTCCAACCCATGAGGATCGATAGGCGTTGCACCAGAAAGCAGCCTCATGCCTCGCTCTACCGAGGCAGACCTATGCTGAACTGGGAGCCCTAGCAAAAACTATATCTTTTTGCTGTTTCTTAGGAATTATACTACCCCAAAGATTCAAAATTATTCCCAAGTATCCCTAAGAGACGTGTGCATCGTGCGCAAGTGCTTGGCCACTGTCCTCCTGTTGACCCGCGCAAGCCAGGCGCTGAGTTCGTGCATCACCGCCCGCTTACCGCTGCAATCGAAGAGGGCCTTCAGAAGCTCAAAAGTCTCAGCTCCCTCCGTGCCAAAACATGAGTGTGCAAGTTGGCAATACTTTTCGAGGATGCCCTTGCCATCTGCGCTGGACGGCTGCAGCAGCGGAGGGGCACCTTGAGGCGAGGATGACGCCGATGAGGCAATCCCGGAATCAAGCTGGGCTTGCAGAAGCGCCTCGCCAGTTGGAATTCCTGGCCCTTCCCCCTGCACCAGACGCACAAGTCGAACTGTGCGGTTACCAGTGCCGGCAGTCATGGCAAGCAAACCGGCACGTGCGGAGGAACGAGAAGGGCCCAGCTGCGCAGTTTCCGCCGGGCACTGTCTCCCAGCCGTGTCTTGCTTGGCCGCAACATCACCTTGCGCAAGCAACGGCTGGACGACGTTCTCGCCTTCCTCTTACTGTTTGGTGAGTAGGGAATGGGGGAATGAGGTACCTTATATGATTCCTTAAAGGGTATATATGGGGCCCTAAGCCCTGGATCCCTCATTCCCTACGAACCCCCTAAACCCTAAACCCTAAACCCTAAACCCTAAACCCAAAACCCTAAACCCCAAGTCCTCGGAAAGATCCAGGGCTTCGGAGACATGCGCCAGTCGGGAAGCGTCGGAGGCGCGCCACAAGAGCTCCTTGGATGGCCACTTAAACACCCCCTGAAAGATCTTCCCAAGCTAGGGTTTAGGGTTTAGGGTTTGGGGTCTAGGGTTTAGGGTTTAGGGTTTAGGGTGTAGGGTTTAGGGTTTAGGGGTTAGGGTGTAGGGTTCGGTTCAGGGGTTCCTCTTAAACCCAATAAGGGAAAGATAGAAAATGTCCCTATATAACTCTCCCATAATAACCCCCAAAACCCTATTCTACATTACCCTAATCACCCCCAAAACCCCACTCAACATTAACCCACAAAGGGGAAAAGAGAAAATGTCCCAAGGGACTACCCAGGCTCCGATGCCTTTGAGAGGGTCGAGCTGCTCAGGCCCTTCAGCTTCGCGCCTGCGGACCATTTGTCCAGCGGCAAGCTACTCCGTCCATCGCCGAGAAGATCCTCGCGTCGGTTCTGGTTTGGGGTTTAGGGTTTATGGTTTGGGGTTTAGGGTTTAGGGCTTAGGGCTTAAGGTTTTGGGTTTCGGTCCTCGTCCCATCCTGAAACCAGACCATAGGACATTGTCAACGAATGTGAGGGAACATGTCTTGTTTGCCCTCCAGCAAGGGTTCGGGAAGCCTTTACATGCTCCCGCGGCTCATAATGAAGACATTTTAAACTCGCCCATGTCACAAGCCACTACCTGATAACACGTCTATGCGATGCTTGCGATTGCTAATCTGAGTCGACCAGTGTGCCGAACTTCGCCAAGTCTCGAGTCTTGAGCCAAAATGGCCACGAAAAGCTGAGTTTGGCACTTCTTGTAAGTTACAACTTCACCCCTTCCTCACCCGGAAGCTGACGGTTTCCACTGAGCCCCTCGTAAACCTGGGACCAGCCACGAACCCTGCGACTACCTCAGAAAGGATATTGCACGGAGGCGCCGAATGATTTTCAAAAAAACTGTGAAGAAGGCCGGGCCTCTGAAAAAGAACCCGGGTTCTTCGTAGGGAGTGAGGGAATTAGGGCCCACCTATCTATGCCCTTGAAGGGTTTACATAGGATACCTCATTCCCTCCTTCTCTACTAAGAACCCGCCAGAAAAAAAGATGCAAAGAAGCAAGCCTAAAAGAACATCCTGATCCGATGCTGAGAGGTTTCAACACCTTGGCACTTCCATCTCCGTCCCGGCCGTTTTTCATGTCCGGTCACCGTGATTCATCTGGGAGTTTACGAAAATAAGGGACCCCAAATCTTGGCTGCTCTTAGCAGGGTAGCTATAAATTGAGTTTTTAGCTGCCTTCTTAGGAAACCCAATAAACCCAAAAAGGCTAAAGATGTAAAGTTACAGTAAAGCACCACAAAGAAATATACACCCCAAATAGTAGGCTTTCCTTAGTGACACAAATAAGGTGCCCCTAACTTTCGGAAACCTTCATCTGCATCTTGCCTTATGCCCTGGAGAGCGCCTCGGGGAGTCCTCGCTACCCCCCAGAGAGCGCTCCTCACGGGCACGCGAAAGCTAGCCTTGCTGTATCTGCAGAGCTCCGTCGGCGTCCACGGCATAGTTTGGGCGTCTACGTGCACATGATGACTGGAACCGGGTACGACCTGATATTGCAAGTACCGACGACTGCAAAGTCACTGCTTTGAAGTGACTAGCCAGGGCAGACGAACACTACATGGCCGTCAGCCGTGACGTCCCACCACACAATACCACTCTGCATGGACACATGCAAATGGAAGATCGGCCTGATGGATGGAAACATGCATTTGGCGAGTGTGGCGTACCGCTGTGCAAAGGCAAGCGCTCCGATGTCTCAAGAGGCTGCTGCATCAGGGTATTGGAAGCTTCAACCACAATCCCGAACCCTAGCCTGCCAGCTACCAGCACACTACTCTCAACCCACAAAAAACATTCTCAAAAAGCAAGAACGCGCACGACATCAGAATGCCGCCGACACAACCGCCACAAAACCTAGCTCGCCAATCACGCAATCGCTTCTTAAGGCCTTGCGTACTCTCTATCACCTGACGTGTGCGATCTATGAAGTCGTTTCCATCTCCCAGCTTACACAGTTGCCGCCTCTGCGACCCGACATCAACAGACATAAGTTTGGGGTTGACTGCAGTCTACGGGATAAGTAGGCAACGAGAGACAAACACGGGTCAGCACTAAGGTCAGCATACATGAGAGACATGTGCTCTCTTACAAAAGAATTGGTGTGCTGGCTTCGTCGGTTCTGGTTTCGGGGATGTCAGGGCCGCTCAAACTCCACCCGGGTCATCCCATGCCACGGCTCGTGACCGTCGGCCGAGGTCAGGGAGATCGTCACGTCCGAACCATTGGGGTTGATCCTGAACTTGCAGCGGTCCACTGCAAGGCGCCCTGGCAGCTTGTTCGACACAGCGGTCCAGACATAGCCTTCCTGCAACCATGGTTGGGGGCACTAGGAACAATGGTCATTTCTGTTCCTGATTTGGGCTTAAGTATTCATAAAAGATGCAAAATGATGTTCGATTGGGTTTAAGTATTGTTTAAGTATTCATAGAAGATGCAAAAATGATCTTCAAACAATGACCCAGCTTCGCAGTCAACAGCTCTGATGGTGATGCTGGCCGCGGCGAAGTCGACCCAGACATCGCGGAAGGTCGTACCCAAGGGGCTGAAGTGCCGAGGCGTGATGCGCAGGCGAAGAAGACTGCGGCGGCACCCCGAAGCCTAGGGGAGTGAAGGAAGGAGGAGAAGAGGGGGGAATTGGGCTGTGGAGAACTACCTTGTTTTGAACTAAGGCAAGAATGACATTGAACACGACATCAGATCTCAGGGAATTTTCACCAAGACGAAGATGAACTGGACTCCACCTAACGCAACCTGCACGGAAGACCCTCAACCCCGATTGCTTGTGGGGCCTGGGACCTCCAACTGCCAGGAACACAGCATCCTTCCCAAGGAAGAACCATGTTGCACCCACCTCTTGACACCCCTAAACCCTAAACCCTAAACCCTAAACCCTAAACCCTAAACCCTAAAGGGGCTGTGGAAGGGTGGGGCCCCCACCCCCCCAGGAAAGAATCGAGGCGGCGCAACCATGAGCAGCCAGATCCAAAAAAGCGTCCGAACTCAGTAGCCTCCCCTCTCCAAGGCCCTCAAGCCCTTCAAGCTCCTCAAGCCCTGAGCCCTCAGCCCCAAGCCCTAAGCCAGAAGCGCTAAACCTTACACCCTAAACCCTAAGCCCTAAGCCCGAAGCCCTAAACCCTAAGCCCTAAACCCTAAACCCTAAACCCAAGAGCCCTAAACCCAAGCCTGGTCTTTCCGGCGCCCACTGCAGGCCTGGAACTCCGGCTTTTTTTGCCAGGGGCAGCTTTGGTTTAGGGTTTAGGGTTTAGGGTTTAGGGTTCAGGGTTTAGGGTTTAGGTTTTAGGGTTTAGGGTTTAGGGTTTAGGGTTTAGGGGTTTACGGTTTAGGGTTTAGGGTTGAGGGTTTAGGGTTTAGGGTTTAGGGTTTAGGGGTTTCGGGTTTAGGGTTTAGGGTTTAGAGTCTAGGGTTTAGGGGTTAGGGTTTAGGGTTTGGGGTTTCGGGTTTAGGGTTTAGGGTTTAGGGGTTTCGGGTTTAGTTCGGGTTTAGGGTTTAGGGTTTTAGGGTGTACGGCTCGTAGAAAGCGCAGTTGGGAACTTGACGACATGTAAGCGGTCGTTCAAAGGCCGGGCACGAGACATGGAGTCTCTCAATCTCCAGAACCCGAACACCCAAGTCATAAACGTAGTCCCTCAACCCTAAACCCTAAACCCTAAACCCTAAACCCTAAACCCTGATGCAAGTTTCAGTTGCCGACCGTCTCAACTCTAGAGCACCGGAAATAGGTTGAGGGCTGTAGGGCCAGAGCACTGCTCTGTGTCTATTTTTGTCCTGGCTTTCGGCTTGCGGGTTCCGGGTCTTCTGCGCTGCTCTCCGTTCTGTTGTCCTCGGTTCTCAGGCCATTATTGGTCAAGTTTCGCCTGGGGGGGGGTCTAATGTTTGGGGTTTTGGGGGATTTAGGGCTTCTAAGGGTTTGGGCTGAGGGCCTAAATGGATTCAGGGCTAGGGTTGCAGCTCTAGAGCCCACACCCCCCTCCCCCTCCCCCCCAAAGTCAAAGAAAAAACAAACAAAACCTTAAAACACCGAACCCCCAAAACCAACGAAAACAAAAAAAGCCAAACCCAAAACCCTTAACCCTAAACCCTAAACCCCAAAATCCCAAAATCCCAAAACCGCCAAGCGCCCCGAGACCCCTGCCGGTGCGCTGGCAACCCGCTCAGGAGGCTCACTTGAGGAGCTGCTTCCCTTCGCGTGCTGGCCTTGAACTAAGTTTGGGGTTTTGGGTTTAGGAGTTAGGGCTTAGGGTGTAGGGTTCAGGGTTTAGGGTTTGGGGTTTAGGGTTTAGGGTTTAGGGATATATACTCACAGCTCCTTCATCGGGATTCTAGTACCCCCTGTTATGATCCCTACAAAGGCTTGTTAGCATAAGGGGGAACATCCCAAGTTAAAGCTTAGGAGGGTCTGTGGAATCTGGCTAAGGAGCGAGGGAGGAGGAACATGGATGAACATGGAAGGGAGCGTCGTGCATGGGCAAGGAGGGACATCACGCAAGATGAGGGGAGGAAGGGGGGGAGAAGGGAAACCGCAAGCCAAATGGGGTAGAACTTGATGCTAGACCCCTGTTTGGGTTCAGGTGTAGGTTTGGGCGGGGGGGGGGGGGAGTTGGGGTTTTGCCGGCACCCTCGTTGGTTTGGTTTGATATTCAAGGCTTCCGGGCCCTCGAACGACAGACAGTTCTGATGAGCTTCGTGCTTTGCATGCCCCACCCACACTCACCTATTCCAAGGCTGCCGGATGGGTGTTAAGGGTTTAGGGTCTAGAGTTCGGGTTTAGGGCTTGAGGGTCTCGGGATTTCGGGATTGGGGTTTAGGGTTTGGGGCGATCGCAACTGACGCGCTGAACACATCCGCGCATGCGAAGCCGTAAAGCAAGTAGACTGGAAGCTTAGGGGGCTTTAGGAGCAGTGGGGAGAAGCAGGGGACCTTGGGTTACAAACCCCCCTTGAACCCCCCTCTGTTAAGGACGTTATATCTTCAGCTCAAAAGGTCTGAAAGAGGACCCCACACACACACACACACAAAACCCTAAGCCACCCCCAACTCATCACACCTGAGCCACCTACTGAAACCCTAAAACATGATGTACCCTAAAACCCTACGCCTACACCCTTTAAACAAAAACAACATGAATATGAAAAGACCGTTGAAACAAATAACGCTGAACCCTAAACCCTAAACCCTGAACCCTGAACCCTAAACCCTAAATCCTGAACCCTGAACCCCGTAAACCCCAAACTCCGAAACTGGGGAATGGGCAGTCGCTACCCAGCCTGGGGTCTTGGAGGGCTGCTGACAGCTTAGGATTTCGGGGCTTTAGGGTTGAGGCTGTTGGGGCTTTAGGTTTTGGGTTTTTAGGGCTTTAGGGCTTTAGGGCTTTAGGGCTCAGAGTTTTGGGCTTTAGGGCTTTAGGGTTTTTAGGGTTTACGGTTTTAGGGTTTTGGGGGTTTAGGGTTTTTTTGGGTTTTGGGGCTTCAGTGTTTTAGTGTTTTTAGGGTTTCGGGCTTTTAGGGTTGAGGGTTAAGGGTTGAGGGTTGAGGGTTGAGGGTTGAGGGTTGAGGGTTGAGGGTTGAGGGTTTTAGGGTGTAGGATTTCTGGGTTGTGGGGTGGAGGGCTTTGGGAGCAAACTCAAGGGCCCTGCCCCGCTTTCGGGGTTGGGGGCTTCGGGTTTTCGAGAGCTTGGGGTCACAGAGCTGCTGTAGGGCTTTCGGGGCTTAGGGTAGGGTTTTTGGGGTTTAGGGTGTACTTAAGGGACCCATGCTTGAAATCCCCAAGAAAAGCCGCCATCCAAACAAATGTATCTAAGGCGGGAAGCACGCACCCTCAGTATGGTCCCTTACCCTTGTGTAAAGGGGGTTTCAAGGGAGAACCCTAAACCCTAAACCCTAAACCCTAAACCCTAAACCCTGAACCCTGAACCTGAACCCTGAACCCTGAACCCACCAACGAGGCATGCTTCGAGGTTCATGGCACTTATTCACCAATTATAACTGTACTTATAGCCATATTAGGGCACTTAGGGGGCTTATAAGTGGCTTAGAAGTACAGCTATAATTGGTTGAGAAGTACCCCTAAACCCTAAACCCTAAACCCCAAACCCTAAACCCTAAACCCTGAACCTTAAACCTTAATATCATTGGCTAAATAAGTTCCATGAACCTCCGAGTGGGCAAGGGCAGAGCCGCCGACTCCCGGAAATCCATGAGGCGCTTTCTGGGGGGCCTGAGGCCAGGGCTGTTTAGGGTCTGGGGTTTAGGGTTTAGGGTTTAGGGCTTAGGGTTTAGGGTTTAGGGTTTGAAAGTTTGGGGCTTGGGGATTTGGGATTCAGGGTTTTGGATTTTAAGGTTTGGGATTTAGGGTTTAGGGAGTTAGGACTTAGGGTTTAGGGATGTAGGACTTAGGATATAGGCACTGTTTGGGTATGCAGGATATATACCTTATTTTGTCCCTACATAAACCCTAAACCCTAAACCTTAAAACCTAAGGTCCCTAAAAGGGTCGCGGGAGCAATCTGGTTTGGGAGACATTGAGCCGACGACCCCTAGACCCATGAACCCGAAACCCCCTAAACCCTAAACCCTTCTTGGGGTTTAGGGTTTAGGGTAGGGCCTTAAACTCTCTCAACTCTGAAACCTAAGTCCCCAGTGCACCCCTTTTTTGGGGTTCCAAATAAGGGCCCGTAATTTGGGTCCCTTGTAGGACCCAAGACTGTCCTTAAAGTTTGGGGTTTAGGGGTAGGGTTTAGGGTTTGGAGTTTAGGGTTTAGGGCTTAGGAAAGTTTAGGGTGTTTATACCCGCCAAGTAGCTTGGAGGCTAAAACGGCCGCCACTGGCACCCCGAATCGCCCCTACAGCCAAGGCTGCGGCGAAGTCATACATCGAGCACTTCAGTTCAAAGCTGACACAAGTTGCTTGCAGGTTCCTGGTACTTACTGACCAATTATAACTGTACTTACAACTGTACTTATAACCATATTAGGGCACTTAAGGGGCTCATAAGTACAGATATAATTGGTTAATAAGTACCATGAACCTCCAAGTGCTGCACGTTCTCTTTGTGCAATGTGTCACCGCACCTCATTCTTGCAAAAGCTGCATCTCGACTCACGGCTGAAGAGCGACTGAAACAAACATGAGGTGAGGAAGGCAACCAAAAGCTGACATTGTCAAGTACGTAGACGAACTGGGACGGACGGCATCTAATGTTTACTTGGTCCAAACGTAACTCCCTTTTCTCCTTGCCCCTTGCCCCTTTCCCCTTTCCCCTTTCCCCTTTCCCCTTTCCCCTTTCCCCTTTCCCCTTTCCCCTTTCCCCTTTCCCCTTTCCCCTTTCCCCTTTCCCCTTTTCCCTTCCCTTTCCCCTTCCGCTTCCCCTTCCCCTTCCGCTTCCGGATGCGGAGGGCTCGTTTGCAACAGTTTCATGGTAGCCTCGGCCACAACCCAAAAACAACTACCAAATATCAGGCAAACACCGTCTCCCCCCGCAGTTCCAGCCAACCATGGACGAAGGGCATTCATGAAAGCCCTTGTTATACACTGAGCTGTCCCGTAACCTGGGGGGAAATATGTGAAGGTTACGGTTAACCCTTGGGATTTTAAGGGGATTCTGTTACCCCAAAGAGGTTGAAGGATGTTGAAGGTTACCTACTCGACTTCTAGGGTAGATCATCCCAGGAGTCTCGTGGTAAACCCACGCGTCCTTGCACAAAAGACTCCAGGGCTTTCCTGTGCTTTTCTGCCAGTCGGAGTGAGCATGTGTCAGGCCAGAGAGCTCACTAAATCATGTCCAATGCAATTTGCTATCGCAGACATTGCTCTTGTAGGTTTGCCGCGAACGCGTGCGCACTTGGGCATTTCCCCAAATAGGGGGACCCCTTTTATAACCCAAATAGAATAGAATCCCCTTGCAAGAGCCCACAAGGTGTACCCCTATTTTCGGAAACCCCCTCTTATGTTTGGCCGCCCGACTGCCTTTTGCCCACAGTGGCTCCAAGCATTGTGACGTGCCACGCTCTCCCGTGTCACTCCGAATTGTCTCGTGTACCCTCTCGAACCCTTTACCCTAAGCCCTAAACCCTAAAACCTACACCCTGTGGCGCAACGAGCGCAAAGAACCTCAGAGCCAGCTGTACAAGCTCGAATCGGCTCTCGAAAAGCTAGAGTGAAACTTCCTCGTCCCTTCTTCAGCCTCGTCGCACGAACAATATTTCCCGATTACTCACTCCCAAGTCGATGAGAAACTGGTCAAATCAAGATGCGGTTTGTGCATTGAGGGCCAAAGGCACCAGGAGGAAACGTCGTGCGAACATGTTGCGGGCTTTCACCCATCCCGATTACCAAGAAACTGCAGCATGTAGAGAAAGAAGGTGATGAAGTCGAGGTAGAGATTCCACGCCGCAAATGCATACCTAGGATGGCCCTTAAAACCCTCTGAAAAATATTCCTGAAGAGGATCCTCTTAAACCCAATAAGGGAAAATATAAAATATCCCAAAGGCCTACCTAGATACATGTCGATGGTGTACTCAAACTTCTTGCTGCTTCCTCCAAATCCCAGCGCAGCCGTGCCAAAGATCAGCTGGGTGTCCTTCGCAGCCCGGTAACCATATTATATTATATTCTATTCTATTATATTATATGATATTATATTATATTATATTATGTTATTATATACCTTAAAATATACAGGGATCCTTAATATGATTTAACGTATATTCTTTAATTAAGGGATATTGGGCTCTTTGGTTAACCATATTATAACAACAAGGGCACCCTTTTTTGGGGTTGGTTGCTTTTGAAGGGCGCCTTGAACCCCAAAAAAAAGGGGACAAGGGTACCACTGGGCTAGCAAGTGTCATGTACAATAAGGATGCCGAAGATGATGGCGCAGACGGCACCTGCAAGTCTGCTGAAAAGCGTTCGATCCGGCAGAAGAAAATACATCACGACGAGCAGCACAAAGCCCACGGCCACGACCATCCTATACTCCCCTCAGAACCTTAAGAAGAATAATATTCTTAATGTCCTCTTGGGTTTTATATAAACAAAAGTAGAAAGTAATTCCCAAGGGGGACATAGTATCATGTGTGGGCCCCAGCCAGTGAAATCTGCTGAGGTTCGGATGGCGTAGAGGGTCAAGCAAGCAACCATGATCAGGGTAAGGGCAAAGACCAACAGCACCGACTCTGCTGTGTAGCTTGCGCATACATAGCCGACAAGTACTCCAAAACAAACGGAGAAAACAAGCAAGTACAAGTAGTTCCACGGAGGGGTCGTCATCATCTTCAAGTAGCCTCGTATGAGGCTCGAACCGCCACAGCAAAGCTGGCAGGACATGGCGCAGTCGAAGCACACCTGCGCCACGACGATGGCACCCACAATGTACACAATCCACATGTTCGCTGCGAGGAAGTCCTTACTTGCGCGACTCAAAAGCTTCTTTCATGCATTCGGTTTGCCTCAACACTTGAACCGCAACCTGCAAAACGACAATGATGACTGAAGCTACGAGATTCCAATGTGGCCTCCTTCTGGAACACAAAGAACTGCGCGAGGCCGAATGTGATGAGCAGCATCGTGCCGAGTATGCCGTAAACCTTCTTCACAAAGCCGAGGCGGATCTCTGGGGGGAGTGCCGTGTTCTTGCATGACATCTGGAGGACATTCAGCTCGTCGTGCATCACTGGCTGCGGTCCCCCGAAAGTTGCGTCTTGCGGTCCCATGTCGTAGGCACTGCCAACCACCTTGCCCTGAACAACAGGTGCATTCTGCATGCTGGACAGGGCCAGGCGGTGTCACACAGCTGCCTACGGCTGCTTTCCTAACCTGAGGGCTGCAACAAGCCGAAAGGTCTGCTGGCATTCCGGTGCTAGCAGCTAGGTGAGGTTCAGCACTATAACGCAACGACCCGGATCCGACAGCAGAGTGACTCTCAATCCATGCTCACCTTGTGGTCGCGGCATGTCAGCAAAAACACGAAAGTCCCATGAGGTCCCATGAAACGTCCTTGCCAAGTTCCGTGTTCCCCGCGACAACATGGCTCAGCACCCGCGGGGCCGACCAAAATCACGTCCCGAGTAGCCTCACCGCCCACCCCATCCCGGCTTCGCTTGCCTAGCACCTCTCAACCAATTCACACGTTTGAGCACACCTCTGCTTTGAATCTGTCACCCTACATGGTGTACCACTTCGCCACGCCGGCCACCGTTCAACCGTGCATTTTCACTCGCATTCATCTGTTGCACGACCAATAATGTTAACCTCGGATTTATGAACCCCCACCCCCCCCCCCCCCCCCCGCAATTAAGGAATCCCAATCCCGGAACTCAAGTATCAACCCCCTCCCTCAATTCAGGAATCCAGCCCAGGGCCCGATTGTTTTTCTTTTTCCACAGGCCCTTTTGGGTAGGTCAGGGCTTGCGGGCGGCTCGGGCCTGTAAGCCCTACGTAAAGCCGCTCTTTGACGGCAAGCTTTCCCTTTGAAGGGAGGGTCGGAGCTTGAGGCAAGGGGGTCTCCAAAGACGCCCTCTAAACCCTAAACCCTAAACCCTAAACCCTAAACCCCAAGGTTGTCGCCTTTGGAGGGCCTTGAACCAGCGGAGCAGGGAGCCTTCCAGAGGGTCCCCTCAAAAAACCGCTTGGGGAGGATTTGCGGAGGGTTTAGGGTTTAGGGTTTAGGGTTTAGGGTTTCGGGTTTAGGGTTTAGGATTTAGGGTTTAGGGTTTCGGGTTTAGGGTCTCATTCTAAGTGGAGCTGGGAAGTATGCCGAGCCATGCCGAAATATGAGAAGGTACCGACCCTGGCCCCAAAGCAACCGCTCTGAGCCTGGCACTGGCCCACACGTGCTCCTTTGTCCCAGTCCCCTCTGAACTCCTCCTTCAGCTCCTGCAACGATTCTCTTTAGGGTTTAGGGTGTAGGGTTTAGGGTGTAGGGTTTAGGGTTTAGGGTTTAGGGTTTAGGGTTCTTTCATCAGGGACTGAAGGCTTTGGTGGCCACATCGCGGCTTCTGCATGAAAGGCCTTCACGTGTGTTAGAGCTCCCCCCGCGCGCAGACACGGCGCGGCAGTCCTGGAGGAAGTGGCGGCAGTCCTTGAGCAGCAAGTGGAAGTGAAAGCAGTCCATGGCGCAGATGAACAGCGGGTATGGGGTTAACGATAACACGAGGCCCCCCCCAGCCTGTGAGCAGAGATCGAGGAGGTCAGCGTACACACCGCTGGATGGACCCCGACCATGAGTTAGGGCTTCGGCTTTGGTTGAGGGTGTAGGGTATCGGCCAGAAGCAGGTGCTCTAGCAATGAGGCTGTTGGGCTATGTTGAGCCTTAGGGCTTCGGGGCTGGAGGGATGATTTCCAGAAACCCTAGGAGAAAACACAAGGGAACACAACTTTTGTTTAGGTAAGCCTGGGGCTTTCGTCGCCCTTTGGGAACTTTACGAGACCCACCTGCATGCTCCCTACAGGTCACTCGGCAAGACCTTCTTCTGATTGTGATGAAACCCCATCCGTACAGCCCGGAGGCATGTTCAGGGGCATGTCTTTCGGCCGAGCTTAGAGAGTTCGGTTACACCTTGACCGTCCTGAACAAACAAGGTTGGGGATCGCAACTGCTTGTTCTACTTCGAAAGAACTGGGTCAGTTGGAATCGCGTAGATAGCGTCTCCATTTGTTGAGAGTGTTGTTCCGCTCAAGCCTACTTCAAACTGCCGTTCAGGTTACGAGCACGTGGAGTGTTTAACGTATGGATTGCATTTGCATCTGAGACGTGGGTCCTACGCAATGAAGTACTACTATGTGCTGTCACATACGATTGTACAGTCAGATTCTGTGCGTTCACGTACGATTGTGTGCCTTCGCGAAATACGTGTGCCACTATGTACTATGTACTGCAAGAATCTGCTAAACAACTCTCATATACTGGTATATACTATACTGTTCGATATGATCATGTACCACTGGTATCGCAAACAGATATGTTCCCTAAGCCCATCACAAAAGCCGGAAAGTGCCTAGGGGCATGCGGGCTCTTGTTCTTCCGAGAACTTCCGAGTAGGTGGTGGATGTCTGCCGTGCCAAAGCTTTCGCGACCTGAGGAGAACCACACCGGCGCCTTAGGACGAGGTGGGAATCTGAGCTCCGACTTCAGCAGAAGCCAAGGGAGCTGCCTGGGAGGCTCATGCTGAGCGAGCCCTTTTGTGCATGGCATCTGGTCAATCATCTAGCCACGAGAGGAAGGGCCGTTCAGCGGTACCCCCGTCTGAACCGGCACACCTGGCACTGGCCCCGTTACTCAGGCCGCTGCGCAGACGTGTCAGGAGCCCCTGGCACTTCTGGCACTTGGGGCTTGGGAGCTTCAGGAGCTTCAGGAGCTTTAGGATCTTCAGTAGCTTCAGGAGCTTTAGGATCTTCAGTAGCACCTCGGGTGTTCCACCAAGTGAGAAGGTCAAAGGTGTAGCTCAGCGGACATCCTCATTCCAAGCAGTCAGACAGTCTTCTTCAGAGCGGCCCCCTAGGTCGCTAGGTGCTGGGGCCGATACTCGTATTGTGCCACTGCCGTGCAACGCCACAACTGAAAGCACTCTGCATTGCGTCACAGTGCCCAGCGGACATCAGGAGGCATCCAGGGCTAAGAAAGGCGTGAAGTCTTCAGGACCACCGCTTCAAGAACGGGGGATCTCCAAAACCCCGAAACAAGTCGTGAGCTTCAACTAGGGGATCTGCGAAACCCCTGATCAAGGCCAAAGAAGTGTAGCGAAGGAAAGAACGGCTTGGGTGAGATTTGGTACTGGCAGGCAGGACAAAGACTCTCAAAATATTTCTGAGGGCCGCACGTTGGGGAACGAACGCTGGCAGAAACGATGCCGACCACTCACTTGAAACGAAGAAACGTGGGTCAGTCACGAGCACCGCATCTCAAAGAAGGTCTTCACAGCCCGCTCTTCCAGCTGTGGCTGCTTGAGGGATGGCCGGGGCCTGGTCGGGGTGTCTGGGGGTTTGTCGATGGATTGAGATGTCATGGTGTCAGGACGCGCACATGCAAGAGATGGGCGTTTCGCCGCCTATCAAGAGCCCGTCGCCCGGGACCTGCATCTCGCTGAAGGCTCTGCACCATGGAAAACTCAAGGATCCTGATCCCCAGTCTCCCGCCCTTGTGGATGCTGCCTGACCTCGGTTTTGCGGCTCTACCATCACAAACCTCATAATGGGGAGCGAGAGAAAGGGTTGTCGCTTTGGCCTTCCGACTTGTCGCCATGCCACTAAATCTGAGGGCATAGGCACTAAGGCACTGGAACAGCTAGGGAACAATGTGGAGCTAAGGGTTGTGACACCGCAGCGTGAGGGGCGTGTCCTGGCCGTAGATGACAATTAGCCCGAGCTCGTCCCGAACTCGAAGCTGCTTCCTGGACAGCTTCGGCTGGACCCGAATAGCGTGTTGCTTCAAGCACCGACTCAAACCCCGCGCTCTCCCTCGCCCGAATGAGGGAGCACACTTGGGGCTTGAGAGCTGCCTGGGAAACTCGCACTAAGCGAGCCTTTTTGTGCATGGCATCTGGTCAGTCATCTAGCCACGAGAGGAAGGGCCGTTCAGCGGTACCCCCGTCTGAACCGGCACACCTGGCACTGGCCCCGTTACTCAGGCCGCTGCGCAGACGTGTCAGGAGCCCCTGGCACTTCTGGCACTTGGGGCTTGGGAGCTTCAGGAGCTTTAGGATCTTCAGTGGCGCCTCGGGTGTTCCACCACGTGAGAAGGTCAAAGGTGTAGCTCAGCGGACATCCTCATTCCAAGCAGTCAGACAGTCTTCTTCAGAGCGGCCCCCTAGGTCGCTAGGTGCTGGGGCCGATACTCGTATTGTGCCACTGCCGTGCAACGCCACAACTGAAAGCACTCTGCATTGCGTCACAGTGCCCAGCGGACATCAGGAGGCATCCAGGGCTAAGAAGGGCGTGAAGTCTTCAGGACCACCGCTTCAAAAGGGGATCTGAAAAATCTCTAGTTTGGAAATTGTTGGGATGGAACAAGTGACGCAATTATTCGGTGATGATATGTGATGATTTCACTCAGGGTCTGAGATCTGAACAGCTAGGGCCTGAAACGTAAAGGCCCCAGATTCCAGTCTCTAGGCACCACGGCAGACCCTCCCGCAGCTGACCTCTTTCCCGAGCGACGTGCCAGCAGCCTAGCAAAACGGGCCTGCCAGCGGTTGCTGATGGTGTTTCCAAGGCGAGTGCGGCGGGCATGACCCCTATGTGCCGTCAAGTGAAGGCGGCGACTCTGCGCAGGTGCGAAGAAACTGCTGGAACTGCAGCTCTCGCGTGAGGTGGACCGAAGCTGCACTTCACGATGGTCAAGGAATGGGCTTTGACATTAGGACTGGCTGGGCCCAGTGCATCCCTCAAGCGCTCGTGCGCCCCCGGAAAGACACAGCATGTGCAATGCCACAGCACACACCGGCAGGGGGCGGAGCACTGCCGCCACCGGTGCCTCTGCGCTGCCCTCACCGCAGCATGGGCTTAGCCGGCTCAGGCTCAGGCTGGCTGTGGAGCTGCTGGGCGCGTGGGCAAGACCTCCAATAAGGAACGAGCCTAGATAAGAAGTTCACAACAGCGCCCGCGAAAGGAGGATTGCAGCCTGATGGTTTCTCACAACTGTGCAACAAAAAGATCACAGAAACGCACCAGGTCGGTGGCCTGCAGTCATTGAGGTGCACCTGAACAGGCGCCGAAAGCCCGGGCCCCTGAAGCGCCTGCTTTCAGGGAACGCAGCAGACAGACTCAG